AGGGCGGGGTTTGGCCCTGGCCGGGGCCCTTCCGGGGCTGAGAGCGCCCTGCGGGCCGGGCCCGATGCGCCGCGGGGCTCCCGCCGCTCGCCAGCCCGGGCGAGCCTCGCCTTTCCGCTGCTTCGCCTTGCAGACATGGCCGGCCCGATCGTCCAGATGACCCGGAACAACCAGACTCGCGAGGCCGTGCCCTACGTTACCCTCTCGCAGCGTGAGAAGGTGAGGCCCGCTCCTCTCTGCTGTTTTCCCCCGCTGCCCACCCGTGGTGAGGCCGGTGCGGGTGCTGCCCTCAGCCTGGGGAGCAGGAAAGAGACTTCCTTGCAGAGGAGGTGGCCCTGTGTCATCTCGCACACACCAGCCTCGCAGGGGTCTCTGCAGAAGTACTGCATCCAGGATGGCAGCTCTGGATTGGTGCAGTATTCTGCCATTCTTGCATCTTCTCCTGTGTTGATGGCCATGCTCGGTTTTCCAGACTTCGTTTGAAAATCAGACTAGTCTTGCCTGCTCTCTCTCATCTCCTGAATTCCAGCCGCCTCCTTTACCAACCTATCCTCTGCTGGTGTGGGCACAGCCAAGAGAGTGAGTTTTCAGTTCAGTCTGCTCCCTGCCTGCCTTGCTCAAAACACCTCATTGCATAGCTCAGAGTCCTGCTGGGTTTGTGTTTGTGCTAGTTATGTGGCTGCTGGTTGAGCTGGAGATCTCAGCTGGCACAGGATAGAGTTGCTTCTGTGGGAAACATAGGGCCCGGGGCCCTGACTGTCAGAACTGAGCATGTGATGGTAGCTTCTGCCTGAAGATCTCCTGTTCTTGCTGGTTAAGTTGCACGCCTCCTCTCACGTCTTTACACAAAAGGATTCTTCTGAGCCTTGAGAAATACCTGTGAAGAAGTGCTCGTCAGACTGGTTCCTGTGTCTCCACAGGCTTGGTTGGGCTTGCTACCAAGATGACATCTGTCAGTTGTCCTCTATATGAGGAGAGCTTAACCAGTTTCTTCTGGGATGAGGTCTAGCATTCCTGCCTGTAAAACACATCTGAGCATGTGGGTTGTAAAGCTCTGAACTAGGGCTTCACCACACTCCTTCTTCCCCCGTTCTTCTGGGTCCCAGGGACATAGTTTGGGCTCTTCTCTACCTATGCTAGTCCCAGGCAGGAATGGGGCCCCATGACTTTGTGAGGCCTGAAGATCTTTTGTTGCTATTGGCATCCCCTCTGTGCCTGAGAAGGATTCTTGGAGTTTGATTCTGGGTCTAGATGAGGAGATGGGAGCCACTTTCTGGCATTAGTGCTGAGGGGACTCTCAAGCAGGGGCCCTTAAGGACCCATTTCCCAGGCTCGGGCAGTTTGGTAGCATTTGGTTGCTCCACCTGAGCTGCCAGTGCTACAAGCTGTCATCCTCTTGGAGGCAATTGAATTATTAGGCTACCTACAGAGTCTTGCTCTGTCGGTACTCAGTCAAATTCCCCAGCGTGTTGCAGGGACCTGTTGTCACTGGGTCTCTGTGAAGCATCTTTACTCTTGGTCAAGTCTAATCTTCTAGAGTGCTGGTGCTTAATATATGGATCAGGCTGTGGAAGGACCAGACACTATGCCTTGCTGGGTTGATAGGTTTATTTGCAGATGGTGTGGCAAGTAAGAGTTTCAAATAGTCTAGAGGGTCTGGCGGTTTCCTTGCTTGGAAAATGCTCTTGCTCTGTTTTTCTTGCTGGACAGTATCAGGCATAGCCCTATCTAGAGGGTGAATGCTGGCTGGCCTGCAGTGTTTTGGGGCATTTTCTGGCACCCCACTGATGCACATGAGCAGCCCAGATGCCTTCCTTCTGCCTTTGGTTTGGCTTTCTGAGTAGAAGTCTGATCTGGGTGGAGGCACAAGGAGGCTGCACTCAGTGTTGAGGCTGGTCACAACTTCCTGCCTCGCTCACTGCTGGTACAGCTGTGGAGCACAGATGTTTGGACAGGTGCCCTGAGCTCTGTGTAACAAGTTGTCTCATGACTGCTTTAATCTGTCTGAAGAACATGCTGAGAGCAGGAAGATAGGTCATGGCTACAACTTCCCAGCTCCTCTTTATGCAGTACCTGTGGTTATAACCATGCCATGAGCTGAACTGTGAACAGATCCAGATGCAATTTCCCCACTCCCCCTTCCCCACTTCTGTGTTGCGTTTGTCTGAAAGACTGGGCATCTGTGCTGGAAATAGAAATTCTGACCCATCCTGCAAAGCTGTCCCCTCTGCACCAGCTGGTTCATGTCTCTTCTTCCTCCCGTCACTTGGTATGGGAGAGGGATCTGAGACGAGTTTTGAGTTTTGTTCCAACCTTCACAGCTCTTCTGGGTGCTAGAGTAGTTCTGCCAGACTTTCCCTTCTACCGGGCAGGAGGCTTTTTGCTTGTTATCCTCTGTGCATGCAATGCTCTGAGGAAAAGGCACTGCACCTGAGAATAACGTTAAACCTTACTGGAGGCCTTTGGGTGCCTGGAATCAGGAACGTCCTTGTGCGTAAGCAGGACAGTGACTGGAGAGGAGCAGGAAGTCCTGTGTCTCTTGCTGAGGATTCCTTGTGCATGCCAGGAGCCTCTAAGCCTCCCTGCACCATGGCCCCTCTGTGTGCTTTTCCTTTTGCTGACTTTTGCCCAGTGCCGTTAAGTGGTGTTGTCTGAAGGGTGTGTGATGACAGTTCCCTTGCCTTCTCTGGCCTCCCCTGCAAATCACTATCAGGGGCTCTCATCTTGGCAGGGTCCTCTCTCCCCACTTTCTGCCTGTCAGTGTTGGTTTTGCCACCCAGCTGTTGCCGTGTTGTCAGTGTTTAACTCTGACTTGGCTTGTCTGTGGCCTGTTTCAGTGTGAGGAAGCAGCCTACGAGGAGCGGCAGTACCCAGCAGGGAAGTGGGCATCTGTTACCAAGGGGGAGCCCATGTATGAGCAGAGCATCTCCATGAGCTTCATGAAGCTCATGCGCTACATCTGCAACGAGAACTCTGTAGGTGTGTGCAGGCGGGGGCTGGAGGGAGCTGCCACTCTTCACCTGGAGTGAGGAGGAGGGCTGCCACCACTGACCAAGCTATCTCACTGTGCCCACTGCCTTCCTACCTCCTTCCAGGTTGCTACCTGGGGATGACAGTCCCAGTGCTCAATGAAATCCACCTGACCAAGGAGGGGACCAAGCTGGAGCGTGAGGTCATAACTGCCTATTACCTCCCAGGAGAGTTCCAGCAAAATCCCCCTGTTCCCATGGACCCTGAAATCCACATCACCGAGAGGGCACCGCTGCGGGTTATAACCAGGTGACCCCAGTACCAGAGGTGTTAGCTCAGCTCAGCAGCAGTGTATGAACTTCCTGCGCAGCTGCTGTGGTTCCTTGGGTAGGGAGATGGGAGCCATGGCTGTGGGAAGGGGGAATGTGCTGTCTCTCTCTTATGTTTCTCCCTTTGCTGCAGGGTTTTCTATGGGATGACTACTGAGGAGACAATTCTACGAGAGATCAGTCTCTTCTGGGAGCTATTGGGCTGCACAGACACTGTGCTCCGGGAAACCTACATTGTGGCTGCTTATGAAAATCCCAGCATCCCTCAGCGCCGCAATGAGATCTGGTTCATCTGCCAAGCAGAGTGAGTCTCCTCTGTGACCACAAACCATCCTGTGACTGGACCTGGTGTAGATGGCAGTTCTGACCCAAAGGGGACAAACGCATATCCTGATCCACCATTCACCCACAAAGTGGCAGACCAAGGAGACTTGCAGCTACATGGATGGTGGGGTTTGAAGCGGGAAAGGGCTTGCTGCAAGCAAGATGTGGATCCTGAACGTTTCCTGCTAGGGTGGCTCTCTTTGGGCTGTTGGGTGCCTCCCTGGCTGTTACTCACCATCCCTCAGCCAGGACCAGGGTGCTGGCAGCCTTTGTCCATCAATTGTGGGTGCTTTTTTACAGACCTGCTACAAGCTGAGAGGGATGGGTCCTGACAGCAACAGCAGCACCGCTGTGTGTTGTGTTGTGCATTAATCAGTGAGTTTCACATCCATGAATACCGTCACGCTCTCCTGCGGGAAGCTAGCAGTGCCAACAGTAAATAAATCCAGCTCAGACCACTGCAGTTGCAGATGGTGATGATGGGGGGTGCCCAGGTTGGCTTGGGAAGAGCCTTGCTCTCTTCTCACAATGCTTCAGAAGCCACCGGAGGACTGGTCTGTGGCTACTGGCAAAGCTGCAGTGCCACGTGCCCTGCTGGGGCAGCTCCATGGTTGCCCAGGCCTTTCTGGATGTGGTAGCGGTAGGGGCTTCTTGTGCAGCTCCAGGCCGGCACCACCATGCAGGGCAGCAGGCATGCTGTGATCCTGTGATCCACAGGCTTTGCTGAGTCAAGGCTTCAGCATCCTCTGAGATGGATCCAGCAGCACTCTCGGGGATGCTACAGGGTGTCTGATGGTGAGCCTTTAATGCAGCAGTACCAAAAGCAGCCAGCATTTAGGAGGCTCAATGAGCCAGCTAGAAAGCTGGTGTTAAGAGCTGCAACTGCCGAGGCCGGTGTGACAGAGCTGCAGTAGGCTCCACAGGAGGCATTTGGGTGGGTAGGGAGACTGCTCCCATAAATCCAGTCTCAGCAGAACCCTCTAGAACTTAGTTTGAAGTTTCAGAAGGCAGCTCTGGATGCATGGGGGATCACACCACCTAACATGCATGCTGAAAGACAAAGGCGCGCTTATTATATACAATAAAAGAAATAAATATTCATGTAATATCCAAGAAGTACTTGCCTGTTTCTGGGGAGTCTAGCGCATATGTTGCACATTGTGCAAGTGTACTAAAATCTGGGAAAGGGTCTCTGAGGGGCTTCCATGGGGGTTTTCAGTGGTCTGTGGTGGTCTCTAGTGGCTGTTGAAGAGGTGTCTCTTAGTGTCCTTCCCCTGAACTCGTGAGTCTTTTTTTCACACAAGGTTCTGTCTTAACTCATTGTCTGTAAAGTTTCTCACGTTCCTTACCTTGGTTTCCACAGATGTCTGCTGGTTTATTTGCCCTCCCTGGGATGTACCCATCACAGTTGCAAAAATTATGTCCTTGGGTGCATTCTTGTCTGAGGCCCCTTACAATTGGTATCAACTGCTTGCAGGCGCTAGCAGGCACCGTGGCCTCCAGCCTGCGCGGTGAAGGTGGTCAGGCCAGCTCGCGCTGCTGTACCCCCACTTCGGGCGATGTGGAGGAGCAGCAAGGGGCAAGCAGCGTGTTGTCCAGCCGCCGGGGCTGTGCCTCCAGCCCGCTGCCTGTAGCAGGGCGCAGGGCTCCCGGGTGCCCCTTTGCTTTCACAGGGCGGGGGGGCCTCAACAGCGGTACAGCTGGGGAGCACCTACCGTCCGTCTAACAACCAGCACGCCTGCGAGGAGCCCCTTGGCGGGAGGGGGGCTTTGGTGCCTCTTCGCTGCTCCGGACACCCCACCTTGGGGCTCGCTGCAGACGGCAGCGGGGGGACCCAGCGCCCCCAGCTCTCCCGGCGGGCTCTTCGCCTCGAGCAGCGAGCC